TGACCCTGGTGGCATCACTGAACGCGAACACCCTGTCCCCTAAAGGAAGGACCTAATGAGCCACATTCACTCGCACACTCTGCCTGTCCCTGCTACCCCAACACACCTCACATCAGACTGCCTGTTCCCTGCTGCTTCCCGACTCTTGCCCCTCCCGCCCATCCCTGGAGGCTCACCTCAAGTGCCATTCATTTGACCAAGACTGTCTACATTGCTCCAGTCTCCCTTCTCCCTTTATCCACCAACTCAAAGGTCAGCTGGGAAAGGACCACTTTTGTTGACAAACTTTGTACAATTATCTTTTAACGTGATTCATTAAAAGACTCAGGTGATTGCTAATTGTTTGTGAATATACTTAGGGTAGGGCTTGTGCCCTTTATTTCTGTATCTCACAGTGCCTAGCACAGTGCCATACAGACAACAGATATTCAACCACTACTGAAAGAATGCAATTTTTTCCCTAAGAGACAGGGTCTCACTCTGTCGCCCAGGCTTGTCTCAGCCTCCCAAAATGTGGAGATTATAGGTGCGAGCCACCACACTTGTCCATGAAGATGGTATCAAAATCCAAGTTAACTCAATAATACAACAGACACGAGAATAATATGTACATTCCTCTTTATTTAATACAACAAACACGTAACACATACAAAAAAGAAAAAAACACGCATAAAAGGCCCTGTCACAAAGGATAGACAGGAAACATCTACACTGAATCAAATAAGGCTCTTGCTTCAAAACAGGGGTTTGCTAGCTACACCTGGAATATGAGCAAGGCTGTTGCAAAAAAAATAAAAATGAACAAAAATCCCTGCACTGAAGGAGTATATCCATAGGGTGAATTTACTAAATTCACAGATTCATATTTAGGAATGCTTATGCCCTCTCACATATCCAAAATTCATCAGGCTTTTATGAAATGTCTGATTCTTTTGTTTTTTGTTAAAAAATTTATCCCTTTCTTTTTTAATTTTAAGGAAAGAGTGACGAGTGACAAGAGCTTTCTTGTCACCAGAGACCACCAAACCCCAAAGCTTCAGATGTTTTCCTATTAAAGTCCAAAGGGCATGTAAAATCGGGAATGCAAAAGCAAGATGGCAGTGGGAAGAGGACTTTGACTCCCAAGTCATTTCCTGGTAGCTACTAGCATTCAATCATCCAAATGGAAAAGGACGAAATGGAAATACCTCGGCTCAGTGCAGGGTTCAGTAGCAGCAGTTTGTCCATATTCCTGCTCCAATTTGAGCTGGAAATCAAACAAGCACCAGTTCTTCTCAAAAGAGCCTTATGCAAACACACACACATACATACCCACACCCATTCACATGTCGTCACCACCCCCTTTTATTTAAATTTATTATTTTTTTACTAAAATAATACAAAAAAGGGAGACAGGTATATTTACAAAAATCCATGGCTGGTACAGTACATAATTTTTAAGACACACTAAATGCTACAATCTTTCAGGTCCTGAGATTATTACAAATATCAACTCAAAGCTTGTGTTCAGGTCCAGTTTTTAAAGGAGGAAAACAAATCCCAAAATATTAAGTCATACACTTATTTGAAATACAGTATATCTTTTCAAGTTAGCAAACACACCTCCCTAATAGAAAATCCAATACAGTGATTCGAGCCTTTTACCTAGAGGATCAATTCTTTAGTCTCCTTCAAGACTAGTTTTGAAGCGTGTTGGCATTTACATTAAGTGTGGAGGCGGCCAGTAAGAGGAAGTTGTACAACTGGAGGGAAGTTCCTCTGGAGAGTGAACATTTACTGTATAAAATTCCTGTTTTTCCTTTTGCTACCAAACAAAAGTCTTTTCCTTATCAAAAGTCATACTGTAAGGTTGGAAATATGTGCTTACCCAGACTAAAAATCAGAATCATCATTTCCAATCAGTTATAGCAAATAGGTTTGCAGTTTCATAATAAAGTTTACAACTGCAAATAGACTTTCTTGCTTGTAATAAAAGACGAAAACACTTATCACTTAGTTCCTTGGTAGACTTTTTGTATTATTTGGGCCACAGAATTGTTACCAGCCAGAGATTTATTTTCTTCTAAGTCTAACAGCGTTTAGCAAGGGAAAGCCCCAAAGTTACATACTCTCCTTAAAGAACAATTTGGTATTGTTGATACTTTCTAAAATAAATAATTTTTCAATGATAGCCAATAAAAAGACAGTGCAAAGTTTGAATCTTTTCTCTGGAGGGTGGCCATGGATCAGAGGAAATTATTTTCTCATTGTAGGCTGGGAATCTACAATGGTGGAAGGGTCCCACGATCATCTGCATGTCTCAGAAAGTATATGTGGTTAATTACATGGGCATAGCCAAGACTTTAAAAAAAAAGTGGCCAAAGTTGGCCAAGTTTCAAACTATTAAAAACAGTAATACCTTTGTTACCCGAGAATAACTTCTCTTTCTTTTAATGTCTCTTAACCAATATTGGGATAATCCTTGGTAATTGCAGTTATGGTAAAGAAAACCCAATTTTCTGACAAAGGGCAAAATATCCTCGTGCTTACAGTGGAGATAAGCAAAAAGGAAGAAAGTTTATGGCTGCAAGGATTGGAAATACAAGATAGCTAAGATCTGACAATTTAAGGGTAGGACATAACACAGAAAAGCATGTCCACTGGCTAGGAGTGGTTAATGCTTTCCAAAATAGGCTTTGAGGACTGATGGAGCAGTTAACTTCAAAAACAGAAGTATTTCAAAGTTATGTTGGGCAAAAGTTGTTTTGTTTATGTTTCAATGAGGTTTCCCTTAGTGCTTGATTATACAATATTTAAAACACATTTAAGACAATATAATTGTATTATCATTACCAAAATGAGAGCAAATAGAGAGACAGTTTTCTGAGGAACAAACATAAAAGTTGTACTAAGGATTCATGTGGCCTATTTGCAAAGTAGGCTTATCTGGGGAAATATGGAAAAAAGCAAGGCATATGATTATGAGAAATAAGAACCTCTAACAAGGGTCTGCATTTCTTTTGAATAACCTTGAAAAGTATCAAGGGGAAGGCATGAAATGTAGCTATTATCACATTATATAGTAGCAAAATCTTTTTTAATACAAAGGAGAAGAAAAACAAATCCAGTTGCCAGTGATAACCACTGACTCTAAGTCCTACACAGATGGACCCAAATTACACTCATGAGGTTTTTGAAAACCATTCTTGACCTGTTTGGGTAACAGTTTGGAAATATGTCCAGAGTTTAAGTACTAACCCATTACGAAATGGAAATACACAGGAAAGATTGGGAAGCAGAAGTATTACAATATGGCGAAATTAAAAATAATGATCACAAATAGCTACTTTCAAGCAAATTGTACTTTGGGAGTCTATGAGAAAAATGTAATTTAGTATCAAACTATTTAAAGGCAGTCTAAATAAAATCCTAAGAGAGTCCCTGCCTGGGTCTTCTGCTGGGATGTTACAGTCTCCTGAAATAGGCCTACAGGCTTTACTTTCAGGTTCAATGGGGACACAGACTAGATCACCAGAGTAAGAAAAGGATTAAAAGACAGTGTGACCAGACTTCTAACAATATCAAACTTACAGCCTTGTGTAGTAATTGGCTGATTAAATGGTTAACTTAAGAGTTCAGATTAACGAAGATATAGACTAAAGGAAATGAAGAAAGAATTCAATATTAATATTCAAAGCTATTTTTAATTAGAGTTTGACCACTTGTTCAGCTCTATAAACCTGAACATTGTGTCACAAAATCTAAAACCTTGTCAGAATTGAACACTGGGATGATTTTATCATAACAACCCAAAGACATTCCACGATACTAACTATAGTTTTGCACCAATGAAAGGGTCTGTAGTTTTTGAATATAGAGTTCACATTTTAGGACAAACACTCTGCTTGTGTTAATCTTCCTTGGAGGAACAAACACACATTCAACCAAACCCTTATGCCTTATTTCTTTGGGTCTTCACATTTGTTATTTGAGAATGGAAAAAGAGGACAACGTGGAAAACAAGGAGTATGTTTATCTGCATAGTTGCTATTTAGAGGCTACTACTAAGGCCTTATCTGGGAAAAGCAACAAAAATCCAATAAATGATTAAAAAAACCCTCACCCCATCTTACTGGGGATTAACTAGGCCTTTGCCAGTTCTGGGAATTAACCCAGATGCTTTGTCTGCTAGGGCTTGGTACTTTCTCCTAACTCTCGTGAGCTGGATGAAATTTGTTCTTCACCCTGTGTCTTCTTCATTCTGACCCTGAATATGCTCTACAATTTAAATCTATACATATACTCCAACAAACGGTGCTCAGCATTTAGCATCCAAAACTTGCAGCATCCATTTTTTCCTGTTGTTTCAAATGATAAAAGAAAAATTCTACGTAGTACTACTTAATATGTAGGTTTGGATGGTGGGATAAAATGACCTTCATTTCCTCCTGGGAATTGGGGAAAACATGTTCCTTCTACCCCAACGCTCCCCAGCAAGGAAGTGAATCTTGCATTCCCTCTCCTGTTTTCCTACAATCTAAGCGGCTGAGGGCTCCCCCTCTTTCACACTGAAGAAGCATGAATTACAAAGGTAGACTGGCTAAGACGGCCCAGCCAGCTGTGTGTAGTGCTTCCCCTTGAGTGCAGAGCTGGACACACCCCCTACAGGAATAGTACACAGTCTCATGATTAGCAAAAATGAGGAGACTTCTGCTCTTTCTGAAAAAGCAAAAAGCTTAGCTGTCACCAAACAAGTAATATAAGGAAATTAGACTGAGACGATGGAAAACGAGGCAGTTACAACTTTCAGGATCACTTATCAAATTCAATAACCAAGCATTCAAACTTTATCTAACTTCAGCTCCACAACCTTGGCAAAAACCACACAAGTAGTAACACCATAAAAGGCTAAAAAAACTACTTATAATTAAGAAACTTAGTGTCATTTCCCCCCCCTTGTTAACTTGAAACTAAACATTTTATCTCACTGCATATATAATATGTTTAAATAACAAATATGTATCTAAATTAGAATTCCAGTGATTTTTTTTTTGAACTTAAAAATCATAGGGTCCTTTTTATACTCATCACAAGGAAAACATTTTTTAGCCTTTGCAGGAAGATGATAATACTATTTTTACTTATATAGGACATTTTAGAAAAACTCAAAATATTTTTGAAATAGTAAAGTCTCTGATATCCCTGGGAGGTAGGTGAATATTATTATACCCAATCGTCTAATGGGTAATCTGAGGCACGAAGGTTAAGTGATTTCCCCCCTAGACATAGTAAAATTCAAGAGTAATACTTGCAAATGAACTCTGGCACCTGACAGTAGTTTTGCTATCAGGCTATATTACCAGGAGCCTGTGCTTTCTCCTTTTTAGCCATAAGTCTATTCTTTCCAATTAGAATTTATTTAAAAAGGGGGCACTTATTAGACACATTTGTACTGGGTGTGAGGGATGGTTCAACTTAGTCTCCCTTAACATGTCACATTTATTTGTTTTAAACAAGAAACAGATGAATCTTAGATGCTGAAGATTATGTTATTTTGCTCAAGGGAGAAATCTAAATAATCATAAAATCGGATTAAGCCAAATGTAATCATTTGGCAAATAAAAAGAAAACGGAAGATATCTCAAGAATGCTATAGATTATACGAGTGTTTTCCTCAGTATCGGAAGTCTTTCTAAATTTATTAACCTTTTAACAGATATGCAGCTATATGATTTCAAAAATCATTTCCCAAAAGGAAATGATACACTTTTGATGCGGACAAAGCTGCTAACTTCCTACAAAACTGATTCAGATACCATACCACACTTGTGACACCAGCCCTCCCATGTATTCAGTCTCACCTACCACAGTACACCCTACCAATCTCACCCACAAGATACTTGTTATTCCAATGCTTTCTCAATATTGCTTATGCCTAGTTTGAAGGGCATACAGCAGTGGGTTACACCCAGGAATAGTCAATGAGTCCATTACATTTATTTTACTTGTAATAACTGACTTAATATGTATATGTATATATGTTTTGTTGTTATTAACTTCTACAAACAGGTATTCAAGAGGGGAAGACAGCATCTTGTGAAAAGATAATTTCCCAATCTGCCTATTTCAATCAACTAAAAGCAATGGAATAAACAAGGCAGAGGCTTTGCAAACACTGGTGGGGGTGTCTGGAAAGGATGCAATGGTACAGCAGCTACTGCGTTTATATAGATGTATGTGTGGATATATGGATCTTAGACATATATCCAAATGAAGAAAAGAGGGTGACAGCATGACATGGTGGTGGCAAGTTTGAGATTCTTCCTCTTGAATCCCCTGCCTTAGCCTATAGTTTATCTGAGAACAGTTTCAAAAGAGGAAAAAAAGAAAGAAAAAGGCACTTAACAAAGACAAAGGCCTGAATTGAGGATGTTTCAGAGCAGTAATATAAGCACTTTACCAGAGCTAAGAAATGATTTACAGAGTTAAACTTTTCCCATTAAAACTTCATAAAATAAAATTGCATGTCTGTGATCATTTATCTACTACTGCACTTTCTTCTGCTTTATTATTACAGAAACAAAAGCCCCCAAAAGCAAAAAATAAAACAAAGAAAGAAACCAATCAAACATGCACAATAGAGGGTAAAAGTGTCTCTTTTGAGAACATTAGGTCAGCAGAAATTATAGTGCTGAAGCACAGGGAAAGTTCTCAAGTTTGGCCTAATTATAGATTTTTTCGTTCTATTTCCAACTTAAAAAACAAAACAAAGACAAACAAATTCAAAACCTAAATGATAAAAACAATATAGGGACCAGTGTGCTTTTATGATACACTCCCAAAATAAAGTTTCCTAATTCAATACATGGGTCAAATCATAGGACAAAATCTTTCAGAAATAAAGAACTGTAAATTAGATTAAAGTCAACCAATACAGGCAAAGTTCATCTTACAAACATAGCAGCAAATATGATAGATAACTGGAGTTCTAAGAGATGATCCCAAAGGACACAGAGCTCTCATATCAATGGCAGTTTGAGTAACAGTAGAATTTTCATTTCAGAAAATGTCTTGAACCAAGTAGAGGCGGAAATGGGTGTGGGAGAGGGCCACCAGCAGAGAAAGACTAGTGGTGCCTGCCCTTTCCAACCCTGGGTAGTAAACAATTTAGATCTGCTTTGGGAAAAAAAATATCCTGGGTGAAAAATCATTTCCAGTAAGTTGTTTTCAAACAGGTGTCAAACCCACAGTATCCAAACATGTATGTTGCCCGGTTCTGCCTTTTACCGTGGTGATTTAATAAACCCTACTCAACATCTATAATGTAAGAAAATGCAATTTGGGCTAACAACATCCATCAAAGGGGTGGTGGGCAAGAAATAATGTACTAACACAATACTCTGATCTCCTCAAAATATCAGGACCTTGTGACTAAAGATTAAACCTCACTTCTTTTCCCCAAACCTGTCTTCTTCAGGTTGTTTTAAAAATCATGATCTGTTTACTATCTGATCTCAGAAGCATATGAGAAAGAGTTATAAGAACTAATTTATAAAGGAAATTATTGCTTGCAATTATTCTGGAGGCTCTGAATGAGCTTGACACTTTGCTCCCAGTCTCCAACTGAAGCTCAGCATTGCTGTCTCTGAGGACGACTCTGCTGACCATTATTGCTTGTGAATACTGAGGATTAACTTGTATGTACAGTAACAGCTTATATATCAGTGAAGGCAATTTAAAATATAAGACAGTTGAAAACAAACAGTTTAATCTTCCTGAATCAAGAATCCCGCTGAGTGGGACATAATTAAGTGTGCTGATCATTTCTGCATCTGGATGTTGCTAATGCTCTTCAGAAATACACATTGTTCTATAGATATCCTTTCCAATTACCATTTTCAAAAATAACATAATTTGATTTTCAAGTGCAAAAATACAGTGTGAGTCACAAGTCTCTGTGTTAAAAAATAACCAATTTATATGTTTGTTTTCTAGTAATAAAAACTGTAAAGATGGGTGACCATAAAGTACGGACACCATTTTTAATGTTATGATTTAGAAAAGAAATATTTATATTTACATGTAGAAACTCTTAGACCTACTTTGTCTATGAAGATATATAAGTATGGTGGACTCATTTGTACAACATAAAAGGGGAAGTCTTCATTGAAACGGATGTGAGTGGTCAGTAGAAATGGGGGTGGGTTAAGGGGAAGAACCCACAACAGTCCTCAAAGACTCTAGACTGAAGAGAATAGAACATAATCTCTATATTATATTTTTAGAGCCAAGGACATTCAGATATTTTTACTGGTTAGTATAAAATGATACAGGAGGAAAGAACTAATTATTCTGTTCTTTTCTAATGATGACAAAGTCATCAGGAATTTTCATATGGCATGATTCAGAATTGATGGATTTAAGAAATTATGTTTTGATTCAAATTAGTAATTTATATGAATACACATATGTGTGTGTATACATACAAATACACATATAATCATCAGGAGGAAGAGAGATTAATATGCACTTTGATTCTCTCCTGGTATGAGAAATAAAACAAAGGCTAACTTCCTAAAGGAAAACTCCCATAATTTGCCCAGATAGTATTAAATATTAGCAAAGACTTTATTTTTCAAATAAACATAAGAGGCCCACTACACTGGAACAAATCAAGAATTGGGTTAGGTTCCCCAGTTAAAATTAAGCCAACTTCAATCAGACATCCGGGATTGAAGGCAAATCTCTACAACACCCCAGCATCCTTTCAAATTATCTATTGAGATCCTCCAACACCCATATTTGTTTTATTGGTAAAATAAATTCTTAGAAGCAAGAAATTATACTGATGAATTCTTTGAAATAATAATTCTTTCCCCTTCCTGTAACAATTTCTTGGAACTAAAGTTTTCAGTTATTCATTAACTTTTTTGCTATGAAGCAAGCCAATGTGACTTTGAAGTCAAAATAAAGGCAACAGATCTGAACAGACCTGAGGTTATTTATTCACAGTCCTGTAGGCTATTGGGGACTTTTGTTTACAAAGGAAAAAAGGGTCTGTTTAATACTCTTATTTGAATAAACTTAACAGTATAGAGTAATATGTAATAAAAACAAATGCAAGAAATCTTAGTACTACCAGTCTAATACTTTTAAGTTAGTCTGTCATTATAAATGGACCAAGTTTATACTATTTAGAGCTTAGACCATTATTGGATATAGTCTGAAAACATTCAGAAACTTAAAAAACAAGAGATACTAGAATGATCCAGAGGTTAAAAAAAAAAATCAAACGTACCCAAAGAGAACTATAAATTTTTCCCTTAACATCCTTTGTTGAATATCCTATCTGCATAAGGAAGCTATAATTACTAAGAAGTCTTACCATCAGCAGGTTTACTCACCTATCAATACTCTGAGTATCAGTAAAGCTTTAGGATCCCAAATGCTCCAACAGTTCCACTACACTGGATATAGGGGGTAAAAATACACTGTGATTGTTATCCTGATATAATTCCTCCCTTTAAAATACATGGTTCACCATCAAAGTTTTGAGATAGGCTGTGTTATCCATTATTTCACTTCTAAGAAATGTGGTCAACAGCGCCCTTTTTGCTGCAGCCAGCAAGTTTCAACTTGCTCGCTGTGGGTGTTGCTGGCAGGACGTCTGCTTTCATGTGCGTGGATTTTACATTTCATGATCTTTGTGTATCTCAAAACTTTCCTAATGATCCACATATCATCTTAAAAATTCAGAAGCCACATTCATACCATATGAATGACCAATGAAGAAACAAAGCATACGCTTCTACCTGTTCATATCAACAGCTCCTCATCACCTGAAATCCCATCATTAAAAGAACAGAAGGAGGTGTGAAGTGAATTTGAAGGGAAACTTACAGTGCATGTCACTGCAAACACTAAGAGCAACAAAGCAGCATCGTGTATCAAAGCTCCCCATTTCTTAAGAAAAAAATCTGAACACAGTCATATTTTAACATCAAGAAAGGACGTAAGAATAACTAGTCGTTACCAGATGTACAAATCCCCTGAAGAAGAGTTAAGTACCTGCTTCTGAATGAAAGTTGAAATTGACCCTTTCACAAAAAGGGGACTTCTATGTTTTTTCTGTTAAGAACAATAGGCTCAACTTTCTGATTTTGAGAAAAATCTAGATTTACTAATATATATCACTGTGCTAAAATAACTTTCCCAAAGCATCTTTAGTCCACTGATTTATATGGGGAGTCACTATACACTGGAAAAAATTCAAGTTTGCTCAGGATTTTTGAGGGTACGATATTCTTCAGCTATTGTCTATATGGGACAGAGCCATTCAATTTTTTTTTTTTTTTTTTTTTTTTTTTTGTGGCAAGTTTGCTACACAGTCACCTGAATAGACATGATTCACAATTCCTGACAAACTGGCCTAATTATCTACTGACTTTTATTATGTACCTATGTCCCTGTAAGTGTTCAGATCTAACCCCCAGGATGGATGAAGTTTACCCAAATCCTTTTGATTTCTTTCTTTCTCCCCCGGGAAAATTAAAATTTGTACATCTGTGGGTTTGACAACTGAGTCTCTCTCAAGTCAGTTAATATGTTAACTTTCTTTCTTTAGAAGAGACCAAAGGTCACTGATTTTGCACAAAAGCATTTCTTCCTCCTGCACCTGGCTTTGCTCAAGTAATGTTTTCTTTTCCTTTTCCTCCTCACCACAGTGCTTGGGACGAGAGAATGTAAACATTGACAGAAACAGCAGCCCTATGACCACATAAGTACTTTCCCATCAGGTAGATTCCATCAGCCAACTAAATGTTTCATCTCCTTTGCTTGCTGGGAAGTCACTGAGATTTCCGTGGTAATTTACTGTCCCCTTTACTTTGGCCTCCATCTGGAAAACAAATGTTAAATTGGTGTGTTATAAAAAATAAGAAAAAGAAAGCAAAAAGAACAATTAACTTTTAATTTCTTGAGAATGACATCTCTGAAAAGTTAACCTTTAATATCTTACACACCATATGATATTATAAGGTTGATAAAACATAAAGGATATAAAAACTCAACAATGATCCTCTTATTTCAAACGACTGTGATTCAGTTGGTTCTCAGTGTCCTGAACATTATTTCAACAAGTATTTACCATTTCCCTGATAGCCAATTACATCAAATGCTGAGAGAGGATTATAAAAGAACCAGAAGACACAATTCCCACATTTTAAGGGACCCCTACATCTTTTGATCCCTTCAGAAGGTAAGATCATTTTCTTGTAATGGAAATTAAATTTCTTTTCTTTTTTTTTTTTGAGACAGGAGCCTCAAGCTGTCCCCCTGGGTAGAGTGCCGTGGCATCTCAGCTCACAGCAACCTCCAACTCCTGGGCTCAAGTGAGTCTTCTGCCTCCGCCTCCCAAGTAGCTGAGACCACAGGCGCCTGCCACAATGCCCGGCTATTTTTTTTTTTTTTTTTTGGTTGCAGCCGTCATTGTTGTTTGGCGGGCCCAGGCTGGATTCAAACCCGCCACCTTGGGTGTATGTAGCTGGCGCCTTAGCCACTTGAGCCACAGGCGCCAAGCCGAAATTAAATTTCTTGACAGGATATAGCATTTGACAAATTCATTTCCAATTATTTAAGTAAACAAATGTAGCACACTAATAGTGAAAAAAATCCAGCCAAGTCTGTTTTGGTCCCTGTCTGCTATTGAGAACAATGATTTCTTTTCTTGAGAGAAAGGGTCGCAGCTATGTGGCCGAGGAGGGAGAGCAGTGGTCACAGACATGATCGTAGCGTACCACAGCCTGAAACTCCAGCCCCAAGGGATGCTCTTGCCTCAGCTTCCTGAGTAGCTGGGACTAAACTACATGCCACTGTGTCCAGCCCACATGGTTTATATTTTTACATACTGCTGTTTAAATGTTTGTGGGGAAAATGCTGATAACGCCGTTTAAATCTCAGCTAAATTACTTACAAAAACTGGGGAGATGACAGACAAAGGGGATACCCAGGCAAGAGTATGGTCCAATGACCTGGAAACCCAATGAAACACAGACAAAGTCTCTTAACAGATCATTGGCTTAGCAAGAAAAATAAAGCCCCAAAGACAATCCAGGCCTGAGAGAAAAGGGGAAGGAAACCTTCAGTCTCAGGGAAGAGGCAGGAATGGTAGAAATGCAGAGATTAAAAAGGAACAAATTACTGTATTATAGTAACAGAATCTTTTTTTTTTTTTGAGACAGAGCCTCAAGCTGAGCCCCTGGGTAGAGTGCCCTGGCTTCACTGCTCACAGCAACCTCCAACTCCTGGGCTCAAGTGAGTCTCCTGCCTCAGCCTCCCAAGTAGCTGGGACTACAGGCGCCCGTCACAACGCCCGGCTATTTTTTGGTTGCAGCCATCATTGTTGTTTGGCAGTTCCGGGCTGGATTCAAACCCGCCACCTTAGATTTATGTGGCTGGCGCCTTAGCCCCTTGAGCCACAGGTGCTGAGCCACAGTAATAGAACATTTAGGCTGGAAGAAATCATAAAAGTCATGTTGCCAGGTCCACTTGTACGATATCTAAATCAACGTGGTAAAAAATAAAACAAAGAAACTATTTCTATTAAAGAAAAGATGTATCAATGAAACAAGATAATTATTTTAAAATCTGCATAAACAGAATACTACTAACATAACTTTGTTGTCATCATCTAAGGCTTTTCCATTCATAGCAAGATATTACATAACTGCATTTCTAGAAATTATTTGGTCTTAGGTATAAATTCATAAAATTGCATGGTAGTTTTTGAATGGAATTTTGCTCAAGGAAGCTTTGGTTAGTTAGCAAAATAAAATATTAAGTAACTTTGAGATTTTTTAGACCACAGTTTGGCAAATTACAGCTCTAGGGCCGAACCTGGTCTACCATCTGTTTTTGTAAATAAAGTTTTACTGGAACTTAGCCACACTCATTATTTACATATCGTCTAATTTTGGGGAACAAAGGCAGAGTTAAGTAGTGGCATGAGAGACCATATGGCTTACAAAGTCTAAGATATTTACTATTTTGTCCTTTATAGAAAAATTTTTCTGATTCTTATTTTAGCTAAATAAAATTAAGAGAATTAACATTAATTGAACTTTGGTTATACACTGAATAACATGTGATAACCTTTAAATCAATTCTTTTTTATTAAATTCAATTATTTTATTAAATTCTCATAAGAATCTATTAAAAACATTGTTTCCAGTTTATGAGCTAGAGAAATGATTTTCAAATAAGAAGCTTGATCAAACTGGCAGTTCTGGAATTAAAAAATCCAAAACTGGTTCTCAAGTTTAGTGACTTACACTTTAAAATGTTTTAATAGGCCAGGCGTGGTGGCTCATGCCTGTAATCCTAGTACTCTGGAAGGCTGAGGCAGGTGAATTGTCCTGAGCTCATGGGTGGTTTCAAGATCAGCCTGAGCCAGAGTGAGACCCTATCTTAAAAAAGAGCTGGATGTTATGGTGGGTGCTTGTAATCCCAGCTACTCGGGAGGCTGAAGCAAGAGGATCACTTAAGCCCAAGAGTTTGAGGTTACAGTGAGCTATGATGCCATGGCACTCTATCGAGGGTGACATAAGTGAGATTGTCTCAAAAAAAAAAAAGTTTTAAAAAAATCTTAAATTTTTAAGCTTCAATTAGGAAAATATTTGACAGTCATATTTCCTTTTTCCCTCTGGAACAGTGGTGCTACCTAGACAGTATGATAATTCACCTAAGAACCAACTACTAGGGTCTTTTTGAGTTATGAGAATTCTGCTTATCTAATTCCTGGTAGGTGGTCACATTCACATCAATCTCCACCATGAACACACGAGCCTCAGTTGGATTCCCAACACCAAGCAGCTGTACACACTGCTTTAGTGACAGTGCAATTCTCCTTTAGCATGTAAACCGAGTCAAGGAGTTGAAGATCAGCACTGCTAACAGTTGTGCCTACTTTGTGTTACTTATTTTATACAACTGTGGTTCACTTAGGTCTTTTAGAGGATTAATGACAATCTGTTGCCTCAAAATTGCTACACAGCTCCCATTTCCGTCTTGTGGTCAGTGGTAAACTGGTTTCAAGATCATTTTTCATGTAGTGTACAAAAAAAAACCAAAACACAAAACTCAGGGAGGCCTCAATGAACTTCCAAAGTTACATGGGCAGCTAAGCAGTTATTTCTGTTCAACAGATCCTGAAAATGGGCTTCAGAATGATCTTAGTAGTCCATGAAGGTCAACTTCCGGGGAGAATAAGAAGCTGGAGATCAATATGTTATGTACAAGCCCACTGTCTAATGTCAGATTTAAGAGTGATCCAGATGTGCTATAAACACATCATGTGTACAGTTTGGCTCATTTCAATCTAATTACTGCTAAGGTGCAGAGAAATTTAATGGTTAAGAATACAGTCCATGAAGCCAGATTTATATGGCAGATCCAACACTTACTCGCAACTACCTTGGGCAAGTTATTTACCTCTCTGATTCAGTTTCATGTCTTTAAAAAGGGGATCATCATCTATCACTCACAGGCTTGTTGTAAGGACTAAGTTAGCTAATTCATGCAAGCAGTTGCAAGACTATCTAGCATTTAGTAAGCTTTTAATAAATTTAACTATTGTACATAACTTTTGTTAACTACCTTATGAATCTTCTTTTTATTCATCGTTCCTATATAATAAACACATTCAAAAAGGCTCTGTCCCTATGTCATATTTCGCTATTTCCTTTCTCTTAAAAGGAATTTGTTGCCAATTCAGATTCAGTCATATAAAAATTTGCTTTTTCCAACCTTTGTCATTCCAATCACACTAATTTCAAAAAAGTATAATCCGATATCTATAAACCTATACAAATAATAAAGAGATGAAGAAATGGGTGGTTTTCTTACCATTAAATGTCTGTTGTAAGTGTGCAGGCAGAGGTGAGTGGGAAAGTGTTGCTGCATGCTGAGCTCCTGGCTGTAAACCCTTTAGTAAATCTGAGAGGAAAACAGACCTGTTAATCATCTTATTTAAATCAAGATTTGAGCTCTCTTAGATCAAAACTGAAAATAATTTGACTTATCTAATGTAGGCACAACCCTGACTTCAAAGTTCTTCTAAAACTAATGCCATAAATTTTAAAAAAGTACATGTATGAATTTACGTGTGTATACAAATAACCCTACAAATTTGACTACTTCTTTTAAATTTCATTAAAATAGAAATGTGGTATATAGATGGCTTATTTTAAAACTGCAAATAAAACCCCAGAGTGGGCTGGGCATGGTGGCCCAGGCCTGTAATCCTAGTACTTTGGGAGGCCAAGGTGAGAGGACTGCTTGAGGGCAGGAGTTTAAGACCAGTCTGAACAAAAGCAAGCAAAAATAGAAAAATGAGTTGGTAGGGCATGCCTATAGTTCCAGCTAATACGGAGGTTGAGCAGGATGGCTTGAGCCCAGGAGTTTGAGGTTGCTGTGATCTATGACAATGCCACTTCATTCTACCCAGGGCAACAGAGCAAGACTCCATCTCAAAAACAAAAACAATAATTTTGGACCCAGGGTCCAATAATTTGACTATTTATGTACAGAAGAAATAAACCACATTTCTTTTTTTAAAAAAACCCTATAATCTCGGCTCAGCACCTGTGGCTCAAGTGGCTAAGGCGCCAGCCACATACACCTAAGGTGGCGGGTTCGAATCCAGCCGGGCCCGCCAAACAATAATGACAGCTGCAACCAAAAAATAGCCAGGTGTTGTGGCAGGCACCTGCGGTCCCAACTACTTGGGAGGCTGAGGCAGGAGACTCGTTTGAGCCCAGGAGTTGGAGGTTGCTGTGAGCTGTGATGCCAGGGCACTCTACCCAGGGGGACACTTAAGGGACTCAAAAAAAAAACCCAAAAAAACCCCTATAATCTTTATTAACTCCAATTAGACTATTTTCAATTAGAATAAATTTGAGACATTTCCTGTTCTGTCAAGTAGACAGGCAACTAAATAAAACGCCCCACTTACTCTGAGTTAGGCTGTGGTGGAAAGCAGCTGAGGTAGATCCCGAGGTGGTTGTCACTCCAGCGGTGTCCGTTCCAAAGCCAAGTAGCTCCAAGGGAAACTGGAAGGGCATGGTCACTGGAACAAGGCCACCCAGCATCCCAAAAGGAGTCACATTTTGATTTGTTACAGACAAAGGTGATGTCATGAGAGTCAGAGGTGAGGCATTAGCCAATAATGATGCTCCTGCTGTGGACTGTGCAGAAACCAGGGGTCAAAATACATAAGTAATAAAGTATTTCACCTAAATTGATTTACTTTATATAATACTATGTACCTTCATGGGCACAAGACTGTGTTTTACATCTGTTCTGATAGAAACTTTGTGAGACAGGCTTGTCATTACCTCTGTTGACTCCTTAACTGTCATTTCAATGGTGCCTACATTAATAAGCATTCACTCTCTGATTCTACTAATACATAACCTTAAATTCCCACCTCTTCAATTTTGCTTCTAGCCCATAGATCTGAACCACAAGCAAATAACGGCATGTAATTTCAATTGGGTCTTTGAAAATGCTCTCTTTCTATTTACCTTATAAAACTTTCCTGGCACAGTCCTGGCAGTTGCTGCTCTGGACTACTACTGCCCGTTCCTCCAGCCTCTGTCTCCTTTACTCCCGTCGCACCACCTTAAAAAGGTGAGGCCATGCTGGATGTTCTTCCTCCAGACCTAACCAGCTGACCCACATACACCAGGAATCCCACCTTGGGGAACTTTCTGTTATAAACATCTAGCAATTTTTTTCTGTTTCCTCTGCCTTCTCAGATACAGACTGCTGTCTTTTTACAACAACCCTGTAACTCTGTTTCTTCCCCAACTTGGTAGCAACAATTAATTTGTCTTCCTTTTAATAGCAAACATACTGAATAACACTTTCCATGATCCACATTTCTAGTTTCTCCTCAACTTCAGAAAGCTAATTTCCATCAATTACTTTTCGGAAATTAGACTTCCTAAGGTAAAAGGTAAACGAGGGAACATTTTCACACTTCCCTACCTCGGCTTTGATGCCATGTTTAGGAATAAAATCACTTAAATGAGAAATATGCTAGCACTGATAAGCTTTTGTTGGGAAATTGCTTAAATATACTCCTTAGACCACTTTAATTCTTTGAACAATTTTCTATACAATAATTACATTTTTTTCACATTTTGACTTTTTCCTTTTCTTTTCTCTCTCTCTTTTTTTTTTCTGAGACAGACTCTCACTATGCCACCCTGGGTAGAGTGCCATGGCGTCATAGCTCACAGCAACTCAAACTCTTGGGCTTAAGCAATTCCCTTGTGTCAGCCTCCCAAGTAGCTGGGACTACAGGTGCCCGCCACAACGCCTTTTTGTTGCAGTTGTCATTGTTCTTTTTAGCTGGCCCGGCCAGGTTGGAACCTGATGGCTCAGTGTTTGTGCTGCAGGGCTGAGCCTTGACTCTTTCCCTTTCTATGTGCACTTATCAACAAAGATCTGATACAATTACATTTTCTCAGTACCACATACCATCTGTTACAGTTTCTGCCACTGTGAGTTTCCTTTTGTAGCCTTCCTTTACCTAATCCAAATTTCCTTTGTCAAAAATTGTACAGTTCTAGCTTGGCACCCATTCCACTGTGGTTACGGCTCCAGGCACATACACCAAGGCTGATGGGTTCTAACCCACCTGGGGCCAGCTAAACAACAATGACAATTGCAACAATAACAAAAAAATAGCCAAGCATTGTGACGGGTGCCTGTAATCCTAGCTACTTGGGAGGCTGAGGGAAGAGAATCACTTAAGCCCAAGAGTTTGAGGTTGCTGTCAGCTATGAGGCCACAGCACTCTACAGAGGGTGACATAATGAGACTCTGTCTCAAAAAAATAAACAAATAAAATAAAAAATTTATAGTTCTAAATTTGCTAAGGAAAACTGAATTCTCTGAATATTTTTATGTCAATAATAAGTGGTAACTCTTGTCAGTTTTGTGCATTACTTCTACTAATATACATGATTAACAAAGAGATGATTATTTCTTAATGTATGAGAAAAATTTTCCCATACATAGATGCTGCATCATCTATTTGTACACCTTAGGGTGCATGTCACTGCTAAAAAAACAAACAAACCTCAAGAAGCTCTCTATTCTGGTTCTTCCACTACCTCTCAAACGACCTCCTTTATGTACTTTCCTTTATCTCCTTTACCTGCTATCACCGAAGTTTATATACATAGTCTGGCCTCTTATTTCAATCTCCATTCTGTCTATCCAAGAATTTACTGAATAATTCTGCTTGGAAATCTAACATTCACCAACCAAATATATCCAAAATTGAAACCATCTTCTCTATTCACCTCCCCCACGTTCTGCTAACTGCTATCATGAAGCAGTTCCCTCTTTCCAGCCACCTGGGCTTGAAACCTTAGTTTTCAGACATCATAAAATGAAGATCCAGATGAGCTCACAGTCAAAAAACCCACTCTTTTACCAAAACTTTTTCTCACACTTAAGTACAAATCTTCACCACTTCATGCTAGGTCTTAACAGCTTTTCTCACTTGACAGTTCCTTCCTCTACTATACCAACCAGGATATACAAAGTGGATGCATTAAGGAAAAAGTCACCAAATTAGAAATAATGTCTTCAAGCAACTAGGACAGAAAGAACCGTGTGTCAATTTAAAAGTTAACAGAGTTGTTTCTCCTTTTTAATTCTAATTCTATTGCAGCCGTAGGATGATAAGGACTCCCCAAGACTATGTGCCCCAAATGGAGTCCCTGCTAAGGAAATACTGCCCATAAAAAGAACTTTAAAGCTTTTCTAGAGGAGTCTAATTGAAGCATTAAAATAGATGGAAAATGTAAATTAGGGCAATTTACAAAATTAAATAACTTGAGTACTAGCAATAAAAAATAAAACCCTGCCACAACTGTCCAGTTTTTTATACTTTAAAAGAACTTCCACATCCACTTTGTTTATAAATCTAAATTGAAACGTCAGATAATCTATATGTGACACGGGCATTTGTAAATTTCTCCACCCTAAAAGATGGAGACTTGTCAGAAGTGGGGTATTCTGTTGTTGATATCACGTGGGAGCATACAGAAGCAGCTGTCAGCATGAAGAAGGTAAACAGTTCAGAAAATGCCCCAATTATCAAAAATACTTTCCATGACCTCTATATTTCATCCCCAGGGGAAAATATGAAAGGAAAATTTGCTCTTCTCATAGTGGGCATGAAATTCTTTTGTAAAACGCATGTTTTATTTTGGTGAGTGCATTTGCCCCCAATCTCCATACCACCCTGAGTAATCTTTTGAAATGTACATCATACCACACCACTCTCCTGTTTGAGAATCTCCAATAGCTTTCCACTGAACACAGAATAAAATCTAAGGACCTCAGTGTGGCCCACAAGGTCCTCTAAGGTATGGTTCTGGTCTCTCTATGACCTCGTGCCCCCTACCAGTCTCTCCCACAGTCCAGCCATACCGGCTCTTTTCCCTGCTCAGAGCCATCACATCATGGTTTCCCACGGCCTAGACTTTTTTTTTAGAGAAAGAGTCTCACCTTATTGCCCTTGGTAGATTATACCCCTTCTTTCCACATGGCTTCTGTTTATTCAATTCTCATCTCAAATGCTACCTCCTCAAAGAGGCCTTTCCTGACTCCTCTATCTTTTCCTCTCTATCAGCAGCAATCAACTCTTCATATTATCCTGTTTTAGTTTTTCATAGCACTTAACCACATTTAAAACATTCCGTGTTTTACTTATCTCCCTACCTAGAATACCTGCTCCAGGAGAGCAGATGTTGAGTATGCTGTTCTCCACTACTTCCCCAGCACCTAGAAGAGTGCCTGGCACACAGTAAACACTTAGTAAACATCTGTTTAAGGAACAGTTGGTTTTTGGAATTATAAAGTGGCAAAGACAGGATTCATAGAAAATAAGTTGAAAGGTAAGAAAGAAGAGGAAACCCCTGGGTGGAAAGTCCTTAAATAGAAGCAGGTAGAGCTAATAACCTGAACGTAAAAAGATTTTACCTTCTGCCATTTGTTAAAGGACCTATCATTCTCATTCTGCAAATGAGCAGATAGTTGTTAATGCCTTTCAGACAGGAGGTGAACGTTTTGCAAGCACAGATAGCAAATCTGTTTTCAGTGTTGGAGAGCTATAGACAGGATCTAGAAGCCACCAGATAGCTGATAATACTTCAATGAGACGCTATGTTCACCAAAGGGTAGAAACCACCTTATTCAATTATTAACCCTTTCTTCCATCAAATCAATAAGACAGGGGAAAAAAACATATCAGATATAAAGGCGGGAACACGTGAGTCTATAAGTCATAAAGCCAGCAGGAGAGGAAGAAAACCAGGAAGGAGCAGTTACTTTTTAGATATACAGATTTTGCCAAGTAGTTTCCATGCTGACAAACCAATTATTTATTAGTATACAGGTTCTTCTGGGGATAAATGATCAAATACAGGAAGGTTCTGGAGGAAGAAAATAGAACTGACAGATTCTGGAGATAGATGACAAAGATGAAGAAAGACTTGACCTTACGTTCAAAGAAAACCAAGCAAATAAAAATAAAAAGCAATTTTTAACTCTAGGGAAACAACCCCCCAAATTGATAAAATTTAGAATTTTCATTTATTACTTCTTATTTTAAAATACAGAGAAGGAAAACCTAAAAGTTAAAAGTAGTTAACACTAGGAAGGAATATACGAAGCAGTAAACTGCTGTTTTTGTTATCTTTTCACTTACCAAATTAAAGACTGATTTTAAAAAGAATCAACTTTTCAATAAAGATAATATAATGTGGATAAACTCTCAGACCTTATACATAACTTAAATTTTAACATATAATTCTTAATATCAACTTGTTTTTTTATTTTATTTCTGATGAAAGTAAAATTATATAGAGAAAACATTTAGTTCTAGGTTTTGATTAATGAAGTACCAATTAATTGAATTTGTTCTACATTAGAAATCTGGACTCAGGTCATTCCTAAGCCTAAATTTGTGGCAGAGTGGTGATTTGGGTGTTAGAGGTATACTGAATATCAACCCTTAGACTATTCTGAACAGCTGGAAACCTCTATAAACAGCAGTGGAAAATTCTTTCACTAGATAAACAGAAGATAGAACAAAAAAAAAGAACACTTCCTCAGACCAGAATTCTGTAAATCAATAAGTTACGTTTTCTAAGAATATTTAAGAACCTCCAAATTTGTACATCATAAAATTATATATTCTATAGAAAGCTAGTTATGAAAAGAGTATTATATAAAACATACTTTCTTGGCTCAGTGAGTAGGGCGCCGGCCCCATATACCAAGGGTGGTAGGTTCAAACCCAACCCCGGCCAAACTGCAACAAAAAAATAGCTGGGCGTTGTGGTGGGCGCCTGTAGTCCCATCTACTCAGGAGGCCGAGGCAAGAGAATCACCTAAGCCCAAGAACTGGAGGTTGCTGTGAGCTGTGACATCACAGCACTCTACCGAGGGTGATGAAGTGAGACTCTGTCTCTTTAAAAACAAAACAAAACAAAACAAAAAAACATACTTTCTTGAAGAGACTAAGAAACTACTTGGAGGCTGGGCCTGATGGCTCACGTCTGTAATTCCAGCACTCTGGGAGGGCTGAGGTGGGTGCATTGCCTGAGCTCACAGGTTTGAAACCAGCCTGAGCAAGAGTGAGACCCTGTCTTTAAAAATAGCCAGGCATTGTGGAGGGTGCAAGTAGTCCCAGCTACTCTGGAGGCTGAGGCAAGAGCCCAGGAGTTTGAGGTTGCTGTGAGCTGTGATGTCATAGCTCTCTATTGAGGGTGACAAAGTGAGACCTTGTCTAAAAAAAAAGAGAGAAAGTATCTACAAAGTAAAAATAGTGTTGGGATAACAGGTGATTTTTATCTTTTTCTAAACTTACCTACAGTCAACATGTTTTATTTACAGGGGATTAAAAAAAAAAGCCAAATCATTAATATGAAGGACAAATCTGAGAAAGTGCAATACAAAGCAGCAGCGGACAGATAAAAACAGCAGAAGATGATACGGAAGACAGAGACATGAATAAGAAAGAGTTCTCAAAATACCTGGGATAAATGGATGAGAAACAATAACCAGACTTAGAATAGAATAATGTATTCTTTTTTTTTTTTTTTTTTT